CAAATGACAACATTATCTACATTTTCAATACCTCTCCGACATATTTCTGGACCAATTCAGAGCCGATAACTCTTATAAAACAAGCGTCAGTCCTGTTGGCGACGGCGCGCGCGCACAGAGTCTTTCCCGTTCCCGGAGGACCGAACAAAAGGACACCTTTCGGCGGCTCTATTCCCAACTTAACGAACCGTTCGGGCTATCAATCAATCAAAAGAGACGGTTAACACAAATACACGTCAAATGTTTGGCTTAAATTACATGAAGAAGTGGTGTTTCGACCACTTCTCTCAACTTCTCGATCTGCTCTTTACAGCCGCCGACATCGCTGTAAGTGACGTCCGGTTTGTCCTCGACCTGCATCATAGTCACCGTCGGATCAATTTTGGGCGGCAATGGGATGTGGATCTGATATTTGTTGCGATCGACGCCCACTCGCATGCCTTCCTCGATGTCAGTGGGGGCCACAGTGTCGGCCAAATCCACGACAAACTTCGCGAACTGTTTCACATTTATAATGTATTTGGAGTCCTCGTTGTCGGCGGTAATGATTTTAGTACAGCGCGCGACCTGAAGGGGCTGTTCGTTCTGAAGCGTCTGTTTGTCCGCAGCCAAGTCCCAGAGGGCGGGCGGCGCCAGACCTGTGTCCGACTCCTTGATGCCCGTCAACTCATTCACGCGCTTCAGAATCGATTGGATCTCGTCCTCCACTTTCTTGATGGACCGACTGTATTGACCCGAACCCTAACCCCAACAACACATCAGTTACCACTCATCGTATCAATCAATGCAATCGAGACTCACGTATGTCTTGAGTAGAGCGATGTCCGCCTCGTCCAGAGCTGTCCATCAAAAAACAGTTACCATTAGTTTGTTGTCCAATAAAACACAACTCATATATCACTCACTCTTGATATCCTTTTCTTTGTCCTCCTCTTCGTTGTCGTCTTTCTTCACTTTCCGCATATCTTTCCCCAAATGATCGCTCATTTTGTCGTTGATTTGTTGGTCACCGCAGGAAGTGTTCACGTCTTGAGTTGTCTAACGCTATATCGCATCAAAACATACAATGATTTGCAAAATAATTCAAACCATTGAATGACTGAATGAAAAGGCGAGACATCTCTCGTCAGTCAATGCAAACTCACTTCACGTTAGTTTCAATTCATTTCAATGTATTATTCCTTTTGCACTACAATTGCTTATATTCTGCACTCTTTTATAACAATTCCTTATTTTTATTTTATGCCATATTTAGTGTAAAAGTGAGAAAATCTTACCAAAAATATGTATAATTTAGTGTTTTTAAATTTACACACATCTATGACATGATAGCTCTTTGTATGTCTTTATTTAATACAATTATAATATATTAATTAGCAAAACAATTGTCTTTAAATGCAATTTAGAAATATATTATTTTTATTTCTTAAAATTTAATTGAATTAAATAAATGACATAAAATGTGTTGAAAATGTTTGAACATACAGTTAATCCAGAGTTAATCATTTAGCCTTCCCTTTGCTAAGTAAATTCTGACTCTTCCTGTAGAGCAGTAGTAGTTTCTTAAGGCATAAAATTTTCATTATTTAGGATATTATAGAGAATATCCTTTAATATCTTTATAGTATTAAAACGGATTGAATAGAAAATGTATT